CAAGACTTATCCTTCGCTTGATCTGAATTATTGATGGTGTTAGTGATAGATTCTATATACACAAAGTTCTTCACTACTTCAAAGTTACAACTGCCAACATGGCAGTGTCCCAATACGCGAGGACTCAATGTGCATAGCCAGAAGGTACTTTGTCTTGTCCTCGTTCACCACCGCTAGATCAACTTCTTTAGCTTTCTTTTCTAAACTGAAAAATGCTGCGCTGAAGTTCCTAGGGTTCAGGCCGATAATGTCAATATTATCTGTATACGACAGCGGTATCGTGTGTTTTCTTTAAATGTGCCGCTGCGATTCAGATTGTCAGTTCGTATTCCGCTTTCCAGCATAGGAGCGAAGAAACCGCACGAATGTAGATAAGTCACACTGTCTAAAACCCTGTTTGGGTCCGAACGGTGTCGCAGAAATAGCTTCTTGTTGTACAGTCAAAAATGGCCCGTAAAATCGGGGAAAAGATGATGTATGTTAATTTTCATCGCGATAGTCTTCTCCAGAATTTGACGCACTTTTGAAATCTGTTCGATTTGCAGGCTTATAAGTTCATATCTCAGCTAAGTCATACAGTGACGAGCAAAACTGTAACATGGTGTAACACTTTTTATTTCAGCCACCGCTATCTTTCCAAGTTCTAACGACTTTCATACTTTTGTTGTATATTCTTATTGGCACACCCCTACTCCCTCTCTCATAAAGATTTGAAGTAAATCCAACAACAAATAGCGGCGGCTGAAATAAAAAGTGTTACACCATGTTACAGTTTTGCTCGTCACTGTAAGTGCGTTATGTGTGCCTCCTCTAAGTAATCGAAATTATAGACAAAACGGGTTTGAATTTGATTCTTGTTTAAATTATTGTGACGAATCTTAAACTCTGACGATTTGTGGTCTTTGTTTAGGCCCCAAAAGATTTGTAATAAAAAAGACTTGCAAATTGTACCTACATACAAAGTTTGACAGAAGCACCAAAAGTATTCCGAAAAAATACTTTTTTCTTTTGCTACTAATGTTCCGTTAGTTTTATGCTCAATTTAATCAATTGCTTTTCGAACATCGAATTATCTGCTTTCGTTGTAGACTTGGGGCAATTAACTGTAATTTGTGACTCTCAAATGTCAATCAAATCTTATAGGACAATACCAAGATTAAATATTATAAAACTGCTACTCAATTATCAGCAAAACAACTAACAATGCAATAATCATTTCAAAATAAAATTTTAACGCCCAAAATGTGCATATTTTTTTTGATACACAAATTTGCATAAAAATTACTTAAATTTGTGACTAAGTTGACATTTATGTTGGAGATATTTGGTATCTACCAAACATTATCTCGAATGACAATATTTGCTGCTCATTTTTCAATTGTTTAGTTTGGGCGTATTTTTATGTATATAAACAATTAAAGATAATAGATGATTGGTTTTTTATTTTTAGTATTTGCTATAAATTTCCGCAGCTTGTTAAAGTGGTATTTAACTGTCAAGTGCCGTTTAATTGATTTACACGCAAATGATCTATGGTTTCAGATTTGGCTAACCAAGTTGTAATCATTTGCTATATTTACTCGTAGTCTTATTTTCCTTTTCTTTTATTTTTTTTTAATGGCACAATCACCAAAGTATGTATGTATGTATGTATATATACGGGTATTCATCCGCTTCAATGCTGAAATTCATCACTTCGCACTCTCTGCCTTCCACTGTAGGCTAGCTGTGGGTACAAAGTAATTTTTTTTTAGGCTTTTCATTGGCTGCTAATTGGTTGCAAATACATACATATATTTAGCGGAATAGTAAAACTGATAGCTTGAAAAATTTAGATAAGCTGAATTAAAGTAAACGATTTGGTTGCTTGGCGAATTTTTTCAACAGTTACTCATAAATACATACACTGCCGGAACAAAGTATTGGCACAAACAAAAAATATATATTTCCTAAACTTTGTGCAAAACTCGCGAAAATTCAGCGAATTTCCATGCAAATTTTCAACTTTTTAATCAGATTAGAATTTTTTTGAGTATGCAGATTTTTAGCTCAATCAATTTTATTATAATAAAATATAAGTTTTAAGTAGCTAGGAATTGCCGTTGATTTTCGGCAATATTTTTCCACACAATCTTTTCCATGCAAAAAATTTTTTTCGAAAATATTTTATATGGAAAAAATTCAAAACACCTTCAGCAAAAAACAAATTTCAAAAATCAATGCAATTTTTGACTAACTCCGAACTTGCATTTTTTTTTAATAGAATTTAATGGGCTGCAAAACTGCATACTCGAAAAAATTAAAAAAAAAATCAGATTAAAAAGTTGAATACTTGCATGAAAATTTGCTGAATTATATTTTTATATTTTTTGTTGTAGAATGAACAATATTTTTATACAAAATTGGCGGAAAAATTTTTGAATAAAAATTGTTGCATATATTCTGAAAAATTTGCTGTGCTAATACTTTGTTCCGGCAGTGTATATAAAAAATTTTAAAAGCTGAAATTTTTACTAAAGATTCGTGTCGTGCTAAATTGAAAGGATTTTATCAGGATTTTTTTTCGATTGAAAAAAATTTTTTATGAAAAGGCCAAATCACATTTTGACAGTTACGTAGTTTTGTTGTTATGATTTTGCTTTATTTAGCTGAACTCATTCTCGATAAAATTTCTAAATGACACCACTCTGTGATTGCAAAGTGTAAAAATCTGTACAAATCGTGTGATTCGGCTTTAAAACTTTTAACAAATTTCTTACGTACCGTGCCAATAATTTCCACCCAAGTTGCAATTTCTCTACAATTCTAAATAATATTTCTAAACAAGTGTCTTAGTTCTCATAAATGTACTTACTATAAATAGAATAATTCATTAAGAAAATTATGAAGGCCATGCAAGAGTTCTTCAAAAATAAAGAGCGAAGAAAACCGCAAGGACGTAAATGACAAATATTCTTGTTTGTGTCGGTTTCTCCTTAGCCTTGCTTGCTGTGCTTACATTTAAAATTCGGAAGTACATAATCAATTTTTGTTAAATGTTATGTTCACAGTGCATGTCGGCAAGTGTTCGTACATTTGTTAGATAGATATACATATGATTACCAGTAAAGGGCGTCTTCCAATTTTCAGATAGGAAAAAACATCAAAAATATAAATCATTTGATTAATGATGACAGCTTTTGACTTGTCTTCTTGTGAAAATTTTTGTTTGCCTTTTTTTTTTTCTTCGCAATTCATATTTATTTATTTTATTAATTGTTATTCCGCAGTCCATTTGTAAGTTAGTTCATTAACATAAAATACGACGAGACAGAAACGTTTGTGGTAAAGAAAATATCACTGGGCGATATAAATATTTTTTTCAGCCAAGCTAAAATTAGGCGTCTTTTAACTACATTGATTACTTGACATGACTAACGCATAAATCTAGTAAAAGAGACATTTTTGGCAACATACAAGTTTCTGGTCGGTTGCTACCGCAGCACGCGGTCCAAATAGACACTTGGTGGACACATGTCAGAAGGCACCTTCATGAACTTACGGACGAGATCCAAACATACATAGTCCTACCACTAGACCCGAAGGCGTACCGACAATTCATAGACAACATTTACAAAAAGTCTATTATCACTTTCAGAGACTCTCGCCCCAAAAATGTTGGAGGCGAAGATCTTAAGCTGCCGAGTGAGTCTCGCGAAACTCTGGTACAACTAAGGTCTGGATTCTGCAGTCGACTATACTCATATCTATCCCGGTTCGACCCCGACATGCCAAACATATGTCCGGCTTATGAAGGCTACCCCCGACACCAACCACCGCTTCATCTGCCCAATCAAGCCTACTTACCTAACACCCCTCTCCTTTTGATCCGATCCCGTCGAAACAGCACGTTTCCTGGGCATACTGCTGGTTGAGCTTGACGACAACAATAGACTAGCCGATTTAGGACACTACATCCCTTGCACAGGAGACTTGCAGCGCCAACACCGACCTTCCCACGACAGTAGGGTCTACGCAAGCGGAACGGCCTAGATTTACATACATATATATTCCCAAGGGCTGTCACTCCAGCTGATTTCCCAAAAACTCGTTGGAGAATTTGTATGCTGTTACGACGACAACAACAACAACCGTCTCGTGTCCTCCAGCAGTAATAGCTTAGCACATCCCTCTAAGACCGACGCATTAATTGTCATCTGGATACCTCTTGATTTTGACATTGAATCCTGCGGAAAGGCTGTAGAGTACTAGGAGTTCGTCGGAAAGTGGTTGAAGCTCGGATATAGCAGAACGAGGGCTTAGATTGTCTTGCATCTTAACAGCAAAAGCTTCTACATACCAACGAATATCCACAAGGTTTACTATAGTTTCCAGAAGATCAACCTGAAGATTTATAAAATCAACACTGAAATATCCTTTTTTATGTATAGGAGGGAGTATTGAGCCAATCCAGTACAAATTTTTAAGCAAAAGTTTAATTATACTGGTTTAAAAAATATTTCGGACTTAAACTTTTGCTAAGTGTTTGGCCGAGCTGACCTTCCAGTTTGTGGTGTGCATCCTGAGGACGATTTCATGCCGCCTCTGAACATAAAATGGTTTTATGAAAAGCCTTGGCTGTTAGACTTTTCTGATTTAGAAGAAAAAATATACAGGGGTTTTGCGTTTTAAATTTCGATTTTTTTTTTTTTTTTAATTTGGTTAACAGATAAGTGGAAACTTTTTTCTAGTGCAATTGGAAAGTGCTGACCTACTTTTGTTACCCAATTATTTTTATCGCCGTACCTAACCCCCTCGCATAAGTATTCGATACGCTATTTTTTATTTAACCGCGCTACTAACCAACCGACCGGGTTGATCCATTAATTTTACTCAAATGAACCCCCGCAAACTTTCTGCATATAGCAATATATAAATTAATTATTTTTTAAATAAAAATCTATTCACCAACATACATAAACTCTTCATTGTTATATATATATATATATATTTACTCGAATATGTTCCAACTATACCACCACTACCATGTGTGTGTGTTTGTCCAGTTATTTATGTGTCATCAAATGGCGATGAAGAAGGAAGCCAATGACAAATCGAAAGCTGCCGAACTTCGAAGAGCACAAATTGGTGTAAGTAAAAATAAAAATAAAAAACCAAAAACAAAAGGTTGTGATAAACATACGTATCGTAATGTACTGCCAAAAATTTAGATGGAATTTAAAAATGTAAAACCAAAAAATATCTGGCTCCAGAAATACTCAAAATGCACGGATGTTGCTTAGTGTGCTTCAAAAAAAATAAAATTAAAATAAAAATAAAAATGTGGAAACTTTCAAATGCATTTCATAACACATCGCTAACTGATCTTTTTCATAGGACTTTAAAAACAAAGCGCTTGGTATCAGTTATGTACTAACAGCTTCAATCAAAAAAAGTGTACTAAAAAAAATTTAAAATATGCCTATAAACTAATCAGAACATTTGCATATTTTTGAATTTGATTAATAATTATAATATATGGCCCTGCATCTCGCTGCCGCTCTGCAAAACAAAAAAAAAGAATATCTTTTTGAAAAAATTTGATTATTGGTATTGAAAAGATGTCGTGAATGTGCGTAAATTTTATATACATAGCTACTTATTTAAATATTTGCAAATATGTTTGCCAAGCAACTCATTTTATTCTTTCCATTTTCCAGGTTGGCGTACCAATTGTTTGGATTTTGGGTGGCCCCGGCTGCGGCAAAGGCACACAATGCGCCAAAATTGTAGAGAAATATGGATTTACACATCTAAGCTCTGGCGATTTGCTGCGTGCAGAGGTATACACTTACATACATATATAAGATTTGTTTATCAATATTTAATCTCATTTGCTTGATTTCCTTTAGGTCGCCTCGGGTTCTGATAAGGGCCGTGAGTTGTCCGCTATAATGAAGGAGGGTAAATTGGTGCCTAATGAAGCGGTATTGAGTTTACTTGCGAAAGCTATTTCTGATCTCAAATCCGATTCGAAAGGCTTTCTAATTGATGGGTGAGTGTTTCATAAATTGAAAGTACTGAAAAAAAAAAGTAATAATAATTTCTCTTTTATAACAGCTATCCACGTGAGAAGGATCAGGGCGCTGCTTTTGAACAACAAATTGCGCCAGCGGATCTGATTATCTACTTCGATTGTTCAGATGTAAGTGAAGTTAGTCAAAGTCCGGCAGTTTCTAGTTGGATAGGTAACAATACAAAAAGCTGTTGAACACCTACGAGCTACAATAGTTACGTTCACCAACAACTTCATTTTTCCGCAAATCTAAGCTGTTAATAAGGCTGTGGAATATGTCACATGCAACTCCAAAACTGTAGTGGAACGTCGCGAATCCCTTACCGGTATGGCTGTTAGGCAGAGCAGGCTGTCCTCAGGGCGGTGTGCTTTCTCCAAACCTGGCCAAACTTAACTGCTCTAATAGCTACGTCCAGCTATATGCATATGTCAGGCCCTTCTCTTTCAGTTGTCTGCAGGAAATCACAAATGACACTAAATCAAACTAGTGTTATGCTTATGCTCTTCACTAGAAGGAGAAGGCTGGATAGCCTTGTACCCGCTGCTCTTAAGGAAGTCACTATTCAAATTTCTTCCTAAGTAAATATTTAGGTGTAATTTTAGATAGTAAACGCTCATGGGAGTCTCACGTTGACCAAAATAGCTGCAAAGTCTTAACAGCACTCTGGGATTCAAGAAGTAGGGGAAATTGAGAGAGCAAAGTGACATTTCATTTTGAGGGGAAGCTGCTGGTTTCTGCTGGAAAAATTGTTGCTAACAGGAAAACAGCTGCTCAAAAACAGCTGGTTGGAATTTATGCAAATCACAAAATTGAATTTGATGGTTTGGAAATTGAAAATGACAAAATGCGACTAATTAAACTTGTAAGAAGTAAGCAGTTATTTGTTTAATCAATAAACTTTGTGATTTGATTTTGAAATTTTACACTTTTGAATGTAAAAAAAAACTTATATCAGCTGTTCGTCTAACTTGCAAGTTTCTGTAAATTTCCTGTTCGCGTACTGTTTGGGATATTTTTCTCTTGTGAGAGAACTGCTGACATTTCACCGGAATTTTGCTGTTGGATGTTTTTTAAACCAACGCACCTACGAACAGGCAGTTTTCTCAGCCATTCTCTCAACGCAGATCAAATCAGCTGTTCTACACCTTTTCTAATAGGACTTCGGAAAGCGTCAACTATGTATATTTCAGAAATCATCAAATGTACTTCAGATTAGTCAAATGTACTTCAGAAACGACCAAATCTGGGACCTTCAATATAACTTAACCTTATAGCCCGGGAGTCCAGCTCCTTCCTGTCCAAGATATTAGTTAAACAAATTTCTATTGGGGCTAAATCTTCTACATGCAATAGATATATAAAGATAAATTCATGATCAAAAAATCTCTTTCAGGAAGCCATATTTGAACTAAATAGAGACAGAACTATACCAATATCGCCTCTTAGAAGTTTCTCCGTAATAACATGGTTACCAGATTTCGGATTTGTCTGTTAACAGTATTGCGCGTCATAACTCAAAATTCAAAAATGCAAGAGAAGTATAAAGTTTTAAGTTTGATTTTCAACTACAATTTAAAAATGTAGGTCACATCATAAAGCCGTCATCAGGCCTTACTTTGTTTTAAACAGCACTTAGGAATGTTGCCAAATTCTTAAGTTCTCTTTAGAACTTGCCAAACCAGAAATTTGACCCGTGATGTGGGCCTGACCTCAAGAAAGAACGCAAACAAATGTTATGTTCGCAGTCAGTCGCTGATCAAGGAAACAATTGTATAGGACATCGTTATATTGATCTAAAACGATATCTTTCGCTTTCAAAAATACTAGTTAATAAGTGTTTAAATAACTGCTTTGCTTTAAATTAGAGAAGGCTTTGTGCTCATCTGGCCTCTGAAATAATAAATTCGCTAAAATCTCTAAACATACGAGACACAAACAAGTTTACTAAAACCAAAAAACAAAAAAAAATTTAATTCTTTTAGGATGTTATGGTCCAGCGCATTTTGGGACGTGCAGCTGCTTCGACAGAAAAGCGCGCCGATGACAATGAGGAAACCATCAAAACTCGCCTCGCCACCTTTAGAACGAATACCAGTGCAATTTTGGATCAATATACCGACAAGACGATAACGGTGAGTGTAAACCATGCATACATACATACATATATTTTTCTTGCATAACTCCGATTATTCCTTTTTCTTTTTTTTCTTCAATTTACAGCTCAATGCCGAACGTACGGCCGATGAAATTTTCGTTGATGTGCAACGTGCATTGGATTGTCTGATTCAAAAGAAGGCTCAGGCGGTTGCATGCGCCTAATTTATGAATATCTATGCCATGCCACAAATAATATCCATAAATAGATAATAATAAAATTTACGTGAATGCACGTAAACCTGTTGTAGCACAATTGAAATGCGCATATACCTACATATAAATACATACATAAGTACATATATTACCAAAGCAATTGATATTAGCTAATTTATTAGCGAAAAAAAGCAAAAGAAAATAATTTATTTAAAAAATATATTGCAAATACTCTCGTACTAATATGCGTGCAATTTTTTCGCATTGAGCGGAACTACTACTTACAATTGCATATATGTATGTAATTCTCAACCCATAAACGCTTGAGTAACTATTTAGCCGCCCAAAATAGTTGCATAAGTGTAGCAAAACAAAAGAAACTATGATTAAAATGGTAATGAAGTATGTATGTGCGTGGTATGTACACTAATAAGAGCTGTCTATGGGAAATATGTGCTTTAATTATCTAAAAATTACAATGTATGTACTTTATTTATTTAATAACACAAAGAGCAATAAAAATTATTTTAAATAAAAATAAAAAGAGTATAATGAAAGAAAACAATAGATACAAATTTTAAAGATTTTTACGCTCATGGATATTTATATAAGTCCCATTTCACTCTTCGTTTTAGACTGTACCAGAAAAAAAAATCGCGGTGCACACAGGAAAGTAATTTTGCAGTTTCGCATTTTATAGTGTGATACATCGATGATCTTGTCTTGAGGCGACATTTTTTTTTATTCCAAAGTTCGTTGCGCTCAATTACCCCATTGTAATACTTACCCACCAAACCTCAGTTATTATCAACCACCCTATCGTACCACCCAGTAAGGAAGTATTTCGATTACTGCATAGGTGTCACCGAAAAAATTAAAAAATGTTAGTTTAGACAAAGAAAAAAAAATCGAAATTGCCTTGCAAAAATACCGCACGGCGCACTTTTTTTGTTTTCTTGTGAGATGATACGATCTAATGTGCATGCATGGTAAGTAATCTGTTTGTGTCATTTTTAATTACATTCAACTTCCGCTAGAAAATACTTGCAGTATGAGAAAATTTATGGCAAAAATGTATAGCTATAATTTTAATTAGTTACGCTTACGTCAACGACTATGCAATCACTGTCGCATTTCATATGCTTAAGGTGTTTCCGGTTTTATAAACGAAATCTAAATTACAGCGAATTTATTTGTATGAATGTTTCCTTTATTTTTACACTTTCTTTTTGCGGCCGCATTTTATTTTCCGCGAACAGTTTGTCACTGCTGGGGCATTTATATACGCTTGGAGCTCCGTTGGCATGATTTCAGGACGTTTTTACCGGGCTAACAATGCATAGTGGTCCAAAACTGTTCAAAATAGTCCAAATTTAAAGGAGACCTGTTGATCGAGATTTTGGAATTTTTATTTGTTTTGTTTAATTAAATTTTTATGTAATGTTATTTACAAAAGTGCAGAAAAAGTAGTCACATTGAAGAGAATCGATATATATATTAATATGTAAAAATCGGGCTTAAGAAGTATCTTCCAAATTTTATTAGCTTTCATTAAAAAAGAAAACAATCAAATCGGTGGAAAATTTAAAGTCTATTTCGAACAGTAAATTCCAGTTTTGGACCACTGTACAATGGTATTCGTTGTTCTGTATTCTGTATTGTTCTCTATTCCCACGTCAGTCTGTTTTCGCCGATAGCCACCACTAATGTTGAGCACATCTTTCAGCCCTGATACTCTGTTGTTGATGCTCACCGATCTTCGATCGATATTACTCACTACTTATTCCCTTTCAGGTAAGATATGGTTACGTCTTTTTACATTTCAGGTGACGATGTGTACCTATGAAGAGAGCTATGAACGGAAACTCGAATAGTCACGATCATCTAGTGCTCAGCTGTACCGCGGAATAATTACCTACAAAGGCTACCATTGCTGTGGTTGTCCACAGTACGCGACTTCATTAAATAAAGTTGCGGAAATGAAAAAAGCTCGCTTCCATTTATCTAATAAATAAGTCTGTCTTTTATTTTGTACTTTTGCAAAATGTACATTCTATCGAAGAAAAATTGCTATAACTCACCCATACTTTTACAAACTAAATTAAGTTCAAGGATTGCAAAATTCAATTTTTTCATAGCTTCTATTTTTACGCTTATTTTATTTTTCTATTTTTATATTGTATTTTCCGTCATTTTTGCCCCAATTTTAAATGACTTGCTGCACTACAGTTATTTGACTTAATGGCCCCCGTTATGAAATAAAACATAAGCGCAAAGATCAACGGTCAAATACCACTCATTATAATAGGGTGGTTCAAAAATGCATGTGAAAAAGTAAAGTCGGAATTTGTATGCTCTCGTCCCCTAGGATTGTTCTATACCGAAAAAATATACCCTTATTTTTTTTGAAATCCAAAAATATTAAGAGGTCGCTCAAAGCGCTCAAAGTTTTCCATATATTTTATATGGGAAAAAACTACTTTTCATTGAAATGGTATAGAGCTCTTGAAAATTAATATTTCTCGGTCGGAAAACTCTGGTTCTCTTCAGGAGACTTCCACTAACAATACTCGATTGTTTATTTAAGCATTGTTTGTTGCCTAAGATTTTTTATTTATCCCCACATTGCATTTACTGGAATTTTTCGAAGGCTTTTGGCGAGCTATAAAATATAGTCTCCTGAAGGGAAACAGAGTTTTCCGATTGAACATTATTGACTTCCAAGAATTCTATACAATTTCTACGAAAAGTTGTTTTTGTGTTTTTTGTATAAAAAACTTTGAGCGCTTTGAGCGACCTCGTAAATATATTTTGATTTCAAATTAAAAAATAGGGGTATATTTTTTCGGTATAGAACAATCCTAGGGGTGAGAGCATTAAAATTCCGGCTTTACTTTCTCACATGCATTTTTGGACTACCCTAATGTAGGTATTACAAACATGCATGTGCACTTATGTATGTAGATACAAAGGCATAAACATATAAAGCGACCTGCTGCTAATTAGAATTAGTGTACATATACATGCATATGTACATACATATATTTTCGTATATTAGTCTTAATCCAAGGTAAATTAGGATTTTTCCCATCAATCACTTTTCTTACGTCGACTTTAGATGAAATGCATCTTTCATTAGTTAGTAACATTTAGCAACAGTAGCGATTCATTAAGCTTCTTATCGGTTTGCTGGTATTTAATTAAAATTAAATTTGCTACGCCAGATAAGTTACAAAAGCTAAAATTGCTCTCTAAATATATGCATATGTGTATGTATGTGTATGTATGTTCTTACATTTGGATGTACATACGTACATACACTTGTATGCATTGCACACTGACGTTGAAGTTTGCCTTTCGGTCCAGATTTTCAGAAAAAACTGTTGAAATGTCGAAAAATGGCAAAAATTGCAAAAATGCCAAATTTCCAAATTTTGTTTTCAAATAGAATTTGGACGTAGTTTTTCCGAAGAAAAAAAACTCGTATTAATGAAAACCCAAATTGACCTCATGTCGATGAATTGATCAAAAATTAATGAAAAATTAGAAAAAAAACCTCGGCTCATCAATAGCATTCGCTTGTTTTCCCACAAATACGAAAATCTCAATCTATGAATTTACTTTAAAAACAAAGTGATTTCATGAACAAATCAACATTAAAAAATCAATATTCCAGATTCATCATTAGCCAGTCTTTTGTTGCTTAACACTTTCCGCGTTCTGGAATGAAATCCTCAAACATTTTTTTTTTTTTTTTGGATCGCATTATAATCGCCTTTCAAGGTCCAGCAATAGAGAGCAAGCATGTGGAGGTTTGATTTCCTATACTAACACTTCTCCATTGCGGCTATGTTCTGATGGAATCGTTCGCCATGTTATTCGCTGGTGTTTTGTTTTTACTAAGTTTTTTTTTTAATATTGTTCACACCTTTCTACTCATCTTGCGAATTGGATTTTCATTAATACGCGATTTTTTTCTCCGGAAACTTATCATGAAAAGTGAATCACAAAAAGATGATTACGCAAATGCCTTGAAGTGAAACAGGAAAGGTTAGTGACTATATATGTACAATGTACAAGCAGATGTACGTATACATATATGTAAATATATGCATATATATGAACAGAACTTTAATGAAACTATTAACGCTCATAAATAACTCAAGTTTTCCGGTTGAGCCACTTAACCACTCACTAAACGCACGAAGCTGCAAGTTTTGACGTAGAAATTCTTGTGTGTTTATCTTAAATTTTTCCTAGCAGACTAAAAACAGTTAAGTTAAACAGCTAGCATATGTATGTATGTACATTAGTCCGTACAAAAAAAAAAGAGTTCGCAATGCAACTTCGAATATAAAGTATTTTTGCAAGCCAATTTTGGAAAAAGGATTTTTTTTTGGCCAAACGTAGGGGTCGCCTTTTTCGACATATCTTCGGCATTAACAGTCGGATCTTTAAGTATGATATATCGCTGTTTTTGTCGCGAGGTGACCATTTTTTTGGTTTCAAAGTTCATTGACATCGAAGTACCTTGTTATAGTATTTACCCGCCACAGTTCTTATCATCCCAACGTACCACCCTAATGTGATAATAATTAAAGCTCACCAAAAACCAGCCACCAAAATACCTTGCTATTTTAGCTATTTTAGACTGAGCGGGGCGCTGACATTTTTTTCTTGTTTTGCTTATAATGTGGTACGGTCTAATGTACATATTTATATACGTATATTTTATATTCAAATACTTATTATTGCCGCCAAAGACATTTTAAATTTATCTTATGTTGATTTCGTTTCTTCCAAAAAATATTGCCCTTCCGCGGTACAAAATGTGTTTGATTTTACCCTCAACCCTCGAAGAGGGCATGTTTTAGCCATTGTCCTTGTCTAGCTCTCGCATTTCATAATATTCCCGTTTTAAGGCAACCATCTGATTTTCAGGGCAACCATCTCTCCCGACAAAACTGAACAGGGCTAAGAATGTGTATTTTTTGCCTTACAACAGTGTGACATTTTAAGTGACGAACACGAAAAGCGAAAGGGGTAGAAACGAAGACACCATTACCTTAGCTAAATGTATATTTATTTTATTGTATTTTTATTTAATTTTAATTTTATTTTATTTTACTCGATGACGTGAAAGCCGATTAAAACTAAAGCACATGGCTTTTTCCACATGGCTTATGATTAATCCTCTAAAACAAAAAAAAAAAAATGTTGCTCAGTAATTAATTTAAAACTAGAATACAAACCGGCAAATTATGGCCATATAAACATAAACATTAACAAGAAATCAAAACACAGCCAGCAGAATTTGCATAAATTCAAATAGTCAAACTCATCGTTAAACGTGAAGTGGATTGTCACTTAAAGCCATCTTCGCTCTATTAGTAAGTATGTATATACATATATGTAAGTACGTAAATATAATCAGCAATTACTCAAAAAGAAAAAAAATATGTATTCTTTATACCAGAAGCCTTGTAAGTACTTAAAAAACCAAGTTGGTTCTAGGCCTCCACTTAATGAAATTTGTCAAGTGACGTTAAAGA